CTGCCAAGTACATGTATAATCTCTCCCCGGGGTCTGCCTTGGTGAGGACGAGCGGAGAGGAGAGATATACCTTGAAATCTTCGAAGGCAGTTTGGCACTCCGGGGTCCATTGAAAGGGATTGGCCTTCTTCATGATCTGAAAAAAGGGAATCGCCTTATCAGCCAGCTTGGATAAGAATCTGCTCAGGGCCGCCAGACGCCCGGTGAGCCGCTGCACGTCTTTCAGGTTCTTTGGGGCTTCCATGTCCATAATCGCCTTCACCTTCTCCGGGTTAGGCTCGATCCCTCGCTCGCTCATCATGTAGCCGAGGAACTTGCCGCCCCTGACGGCGAAGGCGCACTTCTTCGGATTGAGCCTCATGCTGGCCTTCTCCATGATGCTGAAGACCCTCTCCATGTCCTGGACATGGTCCTCCTTTTTCTTGCTTTTGATCAGGATGTCATCCACGTAAGCTTCCATTGTCTTCCCAAGTACGTCTTTGAACAACATCCCAATCATCCTCTGAAAAGTAGCCATGGCGTTCCTCAGGCCGAAAGGCATAACGATGTAGCAGTACACGCCGTCCGCCGTCACGAATGCCGTTTTTTCGGCATCATCGGGGTGCATGAACACCTGATGGTAGCCCCTGAATGCGTCCATGAAGCTGAGCAGCTCGCAGCCTGCTGTTTCATCCACCAGCAGGTCGATCCTCGGGACAGGGTAAGGGTCCATCGGACAAGCTTTGTTGAGGTCCGAGTAATCGACACACATCCGCCAAGTGTCGCCCTTCGGGGCTAGAACCACGTTGGCCAACCACTCCACGTGGATGACTGGCCGGATATGTTTGATGCTGAGGAGAGTTGCTGTTTCCTTCCTGATGAAATCGCGTCGGTCGGCCGCCATATATCTCTTCTTCTGTTGTATAGGCTTGGCATCCGACCGCACGGCGAGTTTATGGCATATGAGGTTGGGGTCGATGCCCGGCATGTCCTCCGGCCCTCTGGCGAACAAGATCCTGAACCTCCGGAGGACAGCTATGACCCCTGCCCTGATTCTTGGCTCTAGATCCGCACCAATGGACACCTTCCTGTCCGTCGGATCGTCGAGTTCAATTTCCTCCAGCAGAGTTGCTGGTTCCAGATGAGCGTCCAAGTCGGCCTGCTTGGCCTTTTCGGAGATGCTGTTGACCCGAGCCTCCCGCTCGTTGAGCTTCTCCATGGCCTTCGTGTAGCAGGCCCTGGCCATATGTGGGTCCGTACGTGCCACCCCCACTCCAGTGTCGGTGGGGAATTTGATGCACGAATGTCGTACGGAGCATATGGCCCCCAAGTCTTCCAAGCCGGGTCGGCCCAAAATGGCGTTGTGGGCGCACTTCAGGCGGACCACGACGAACGTCATGCTGATCCGGGCAGTGTGAGGGCCGTCGCCGACCTCTACCGGTAAAATGATGGTGCCCTCAGCGTCAATGCAATCCCCGGTGAAGCCGGACAGCGGGGTGCGTAGGGGGTGTAGCATGTCCCTCCGGAGCCTCATTCCTTCGAAAGCCTCCCAGTAGAGGACGTTCACACTGCTCCCGGTATCAACGAGGACGCGACGGACGATAGCATCGTTCACGTCCATGCTGATCACCAGCTCGTCTCTGTGCGGCGCCGGTGACATTGGCAGGTCAGCGGGGCCGAAGGTAATTGCCTCGGCTCTATTGCGCTTGGTGGGGGGTGCTGATACGGAACCCACATAGAGTGACCTCTCAAATTTTTTCCGCTCGGCGGGTGTATCCCCTGTCTCAGCGCCCCCGAAGATCACCTTGATTTCCAATTTCTTCTTCTTGCCCTTCGGGCCGAGGGATCCTTCCGGACGTTTATCTGCACTTCGATAATCCACGTCCTGAGGTTCTGCCTCGCGCCGATCGTCGCGGCGCCATGTCTTGTGCCCTGAGTTCGGCTTCTGCTGGCTGTTTTTGTTCAGCAGCTGGGTGAACTCGCCCAGGTACCCCTGACGGATCAGCTCGTCGATCGCTTTCTTTAATTGGCTGCAATTATCCGTCAGGTGACCGGTCCTCTGATGGTATTCACAGTAGGCCGATTGGTCGTGCCCCATATGTTTATTCATATCCTGGGGTTCCGTTAGGAGGCCCTTGTCCTTGATGGCCTCAAAGATTTGGCTCACTGGATAGGCCAATGGGACATAGTGGTCGTCCGGCCGTGCTTGAGTATCCCCGGACGGGGTCTTCCAGGGGACCATCGCCCCGTCTGTCCTCTTCTTTTTGTTTGGGGGGGAGGGTCCGGGTCCCGGCCCGGGCCCGAGCCTGTCCGCCATCTTCCGTGGGTGGGCCGCGGGAACTCCGTCCCGCTGCCTGATCTCCTCCTCAATGGAGGCATACTTCTGGGCCCGAGCAAGAACCTCGGTGTAGCTGGTGCCGGGGTTCCTCCTTAGGTCCCGGTATAGATCCCCTGTGGCCAGCGCACTGGTGAACATGTTGGTGGCCAGACGTTCGTCCAGATCGTCGACCTGTAGGACCTCGTCCCTCCACCTTACCAGGAACCTAGCCAGCGGTTCGTCCCGCCCTTGTTTGATGTGGGCGAGAGCCGTGACGTCCTTCCTGGGGGTGGTGCTGGCAGCAAATTGCGCCATGAACTGTTGGGAGAGCTGTTCGTATGAGTCGATGGTGCCTGGCCTCAACTGGCCGAACCATTCTTGCGCCGGCCCCCTGAGGGTGCTGAAGAACAATCTGCAGATGGCCTCGTCTGACGCTCCCAGCATGGACAGGTTCCCTTGGTAGCTTATCAGATGGGCCTTGGGATCGCCAGCCCCATTGTACACCAAGTTGCCCGGGGGCCTGCAGTCCCGGGGAATCTCGACGCTCATCACCCGTGGAGTAAAGGGAGATGTGAGGGAGAAAGAGGGTGTGGCCGAGCCAACGTCCGCCCGCCTATTCATCTCGGCTATCTGCCTTTCCATGGCCTCCAACCTTGCCTCCTGTGCGGCCCTTCCGGGGGACACAGGGGGCGCGGCTTCGGGGACGGCATTGTGCTGAGCGACCACAGCATCGTGCGGCCGCCTAAAAATCTGCGCACCTCGCCGTTGGAAACGTCGTCCAACGGTGTTGATCCTCGGGGTCTCGTCTCCCCGCGGGGTTTGGCGGGGGATTGATGGTGTGTGAGCTCTGGATGCAGCGATGCTGACTCTGGTTCGCCCTCCCGTTCCACGGGAGCCTGAACCCCCACCTAGCCGCTCGTGGACTGAGGGTCGGTGGTCGCTGGATCCTGTCGTATCGTCATACGACTGCATGCGGCGTATGGGAGAGAGGGGCGTTCGCTGGGTACTCGCAGAGTACACCCGGTCTCGGGCCTCCCGTTCGTCTGCCAAGCGACGCATAGTGTCTGCGAGTTCCCGCATGAGGCGAGGATCCTGCCTGGCCTCCAGGGGAATGAGGTCAGTGATACCCCCGTTCCCCCCGGAGGTCCATATTGTTGCGGATAGTTCCGAGTTCTGGCCGCGATTCCGGCGGCTTGATTCCAGACGCTCGGAAAGATCACGCTGGTTGTTGCTTCCTGACATCGTGTTTGCTGTAGGTAGACTTAGTAGCTGTTTGGGAGAGTTTTTGGAAACTTTTTGCTCAGTTCCCACAGACGGCGCCAGTGTTGAGGTTTATTCCTTCAACCCTTGGACCCAACACGTAAGCCCAAAGATTTCGAGTGGAGTGTTTGGATATCTAGCCCAACAACTTTCAGATGGATCAGGAAACAAGAGAAATAGCAGGCAATGTAAATAGGTATTATTAACTTCGTAATAACTCCCCTAAGTACAATCTACTTGCTAAAAAGGCACGTCGGCCGTTCGTCTTACAAGGCACTTAGAAATGCTGCAAGTAAGAATGCTGAAGCTAGTATGCTAAGAATAGAAAGTTGCCAACCCTTTACAATGAAATAAATGCTTCTATTTATACCCGCCAATGGGCAGGTGGCTGTACTGACGTGGCAGCCTGTGGACCGCTGGTGTACCAACTACCAAATCTTTAGCATTAAATGCACTTCCCGCCAGAATCTAGGTTTCCCGCCGGATCAGTGGGGACGTTCGTCCACCCGGGAAGTGAGTTGGATTGCACCAAGTGACCCTTGAGGGATATTGGCTGTTCGTCTCCTGGCCTTGATAGATACTCACCACGTGCACTGGGTTTTCTCCGATGACTACAGGTTTGCTCTGGGGACGTTCGTCGCCATCCCTGGTGGCCCGTGGCTCTGCTCCTTGTCCCTGCATAGACGTTCGTCGGAACGAGCTGCTGGGCCTGAGTCCTCCAACACCAGACGTTCGTCCATCCTTAAAGAACATGGCCCTGTGGGCTGGCCTAGTTTCTAGCTGGACGCTCGTCTGGCAAAATGGGTTAGTGGGCCGGACCTCGGCTTGGGCCCTTAACCCAACAACGTCATTTCCCTCCAAAAACTTAATCCCCTCCAACCTATCCTATTTTCTCCCCACTATGGTGACTTAGGTCACTTAAATTTTTTTACTCTCTCTCTCTCTCTCTCTCTCCTTATTTTGATATATTCCACCATTATTAATTTATTTAATTTGAAAAAGTAATACTCCGTATAAAATCCACATTTGACCCACTGTAATTATTCATTGTGAAAAATAAAAATATGCATGTTTTAAAAAAATTGTTACTTGTCCTTAATTCAGAAGAAAAAATGTTCTAAAACGGATAAAATAAGATGCAAGAAGGAAAGAAATGATAAATTCTGAAATAACTACACATATCATTCACTGGTGTCTATGTATAGGAGGAAAAAAATTCTATTTTTTGATATAATTTTTTTATACTATAAATTAAATTTAATGCATAATAAATGAAATTAGGGAGCTGGGGTAGTTGATTCAAAGTAAAATGTCATTTGACTTTATCTAATTGGTTAGTCACAAATAAGTTGTGATATCCCATTTTTAATCTTTCCAATAGTGGGATCACTTCCTCCCTAATAACCTCCCCATAGTGGATGTTTCTTTAATGGATGTACTGCTTGCTACCTACAGCTCCCAAAAAAATCGAGCCAAATTACTTATGTCAATTTGATTCACAATTGACGGACTATAATGTACAAAAGTGATAGATTGATAATTGATGTAAAATTGCAAATGAACAAAATGAATCTATTTATTTATAGGATAGGAATCATAGGATTTGCATTTAAGCAATTTTATTACTGTATATACTGTTTGAGCCTTTGAGGTTCCCGAGTCAATCAAATACAGGCATCTCATACATGCGCGGATGCGCCTTATAATTTCGCATCAAGTTTAGGGAATCCCCTTTTATGGCCGCTTCCAAATTGCTGGCTGGCTCCATTGCACTTATATTAGTTTCTCTCTTTGCTTCGTCGGCCATTGGAGGTAACTCATAACTGCATTTTCTATTTTTCTTCCCTCACCATCCCACTCTCAATGAACATATTGATTGATATCTTTCTATGCAATTGGCTAGCAGTTTGTTTCCTGAGGAGAAAAAGGAGGCTGGGTCTTGAGGATAAACTCCGAGAGCTTGAACAGGCTCTGAAAACAGCCTTAGAAAACTGTGCTTCTGAAAGGCGGGGCCGCATTCGAGCTCAGCAGGTGCCCCCTCCTTTTGTTATTTCTCTAATTCGAACAAAATTTCCTGGTGTTAAACCAGTAAATAGTGGTGAAAGAGATGATTGAGGTGTGGAAGTGATAATAAATCCCACAATAAGGCTACAACCTGGTTGGTAAGACAATTGAAGTGTGGAAGTGAAAGAAATTAATGCGGTAAAAACACTGCTTGATACAACTGCTAATCTGAAAAACAAGGCTACAATCACTTAGCATATACTCTGTAATTTTAATTGTCTATGAAGTGAAATAAGGATAAGCTTCATCGCTGAAAATACTCTTAAAACACTAGGAATCACAATGAGTTAATCAAAACAAACTTTATGAGCAAATACAATTATGTGATCCATGTTTCCTTGTTTCCACCATTTTGTTACATACTATGAAACCGACTAAATTTGAGAAATCACGATCAAGTCGTCATCATCATTACCCCAGTGCCGCAAAGTCTCCCACACTTTTGGTGTAAGGGGGTCGGATGTACACAGTCTTACCCCTGTACTAAAGCACAGAGAGACTGTTTCCAGATGACCCATAGTGAAAATCGCATCGAAAATCACGATCAAGTCCTACATAAAAATTAAAGTATCATGTTTCTTACCAAATTATTAATTACAAATTTCACATTTTGGGTCGAGTTTTGAATGCCAAATGTCAGAGAATTTAGCTCATCATCATTATCATTACCCAGTGCCGCAAAGGCTCCCACCTACAGTGGGGTAAGGGGGGTCGGATGTACGCAGTCTTACCCCTATACTAAAGCACAAAGAGACTGTTTCCGGATGACCCATAGTGAAAATCGCGTCAAAAATTGCATAGATTGACTGCTGCTCCATAAAAAAGAAGCGCAGACAGTTTTGCAGAATTAAATCTGTATTTATCTTATTCCTCCATGAATGGAGGAGGTCTTTGCTCAGAAACCTGAAGAGGAAATGCATGTGATTATGAGTCTAAAGAGTACGTGAAAAGAGTACGTGAAAAGAATGTGTTGGTGTGGAGGTCAACTAAAGGAGACAAGCGCTAAGGCATATGTTATGATGAACAACTTGTTTTCGATGATAAGAAATTAAGTTGTAGTTTTTGAACTTGGGGAAGGGAATTGTTTAACCTAGTGGACTTCAATTCTATGTTATATCTTTTGTTCGTATGGTCTTCTGTCATGTTATGACGATTTAATGAAATAAACTTATAGACATTAAACCTTGAAGGGTTAATTGTTCAAGCATTTTTTGTGTTCTTGACTTAACTTATTTTCATACTAAATATAATAGTATAAATGTATAATACTATGGCATAAACTATTATAATTGTGATTTTGTACAATGTTACAAAATTTATAAATATAAATTGTAGGCATTGAGGGAAGATCTGGCCAAAGTTTGTTCTCATGATTCAGACTTTTACTCATATCCTATGACACCTATTGCTACTGTTCAATCATGCTTCTCTACAAGGTAATCTTAAAGGGGTATTGGTATTGCATTATAGATTTCCATTTTGTAAGAATCTATAAATCGCCCCATGAACTTTTTGTGTTTTTTTTCTTGTATTTTGTAATAATTATATTTATTATTGTTAAAGTTTCCTTTTTATTTAACATTCTTTAACCTTATGTCATGTGCCAACCAACAACCGAGCCTTAGTCCCAAATTATTCGGATCAACATCATCAATCAATATAGTATGATAGTATCTCTGGTGATCCTCTATTGAAACTCTCATTTTTCATTCTCTTATGTAATGTACAATAGATTCTCATTAAACAATGATCTTGTCTTCTGTAATCTACTTAATGTTATATGAGTACTTATTGGTTTCCCAAGTTCTTCCCAACACACTGTTGTTCCTAATGGAGCGTCTCATCATGGTCTTGATCTTAGATTGCTCAAATTCTTTAGACTTGCTTTAGCTCAATGGAAACATGATATATAAGTTTTTGTTGGTCAAGGACTAATAAACAAAGAAAAAATAATGAACACAATCGAACATATGAAATAGAGCGAAGCTAAACTATATTCCCTCCTTCCCTACATGAGCTTCACTATTTGATTTCCCGGTCTTCAATTGTCATGTTTGATCATATTTTTTATATAATTGTAAATGTTATAATAAAAGAGTATTTCAAAAATACAAATTAACACAAATTGATCAAGAAAGCTTTATGTTATGGATAATATAATTTATAAAACATTAGAGATCCATGATTATAAATTTGACTAGAGAAGTCAAACTGAGGTTTTTAGAGATGGAGGCAGTATTATCGAACATGATGCTGTGGTTCCTAACTCTGGGATAGCCGGATAGGGAAACATATTTATATAGATATTACAAAGGAGTCTCCTATTATAACATGGACTCGCATTATGTAGCTTCCTATTCTATCATCAGCATGCACTTGTGAATCTCAAATATGAAGTGGTTACCAGATACATGAGTCGACCCTCACAATCCTTGTAGTGGTGTATAGATCATCCAACCTCATCCTCCTCATTGGGGTGAGTCTGAACCCATCAAGGCAGTGGCCAGTGGGCCAACTGATGCCCATTGTCCAACCATGGGGATCAGGCCCATACTCAAGTAGTTCCCTGTATCAGCCTGTTCAATTTTTTTTGGAAAGACCAGCCCAAAAAAAGTTCACCTTTTCAATATAATCACAAATAGCACTTTTTTACCTTGGCCCATTATCTTTTATTTTTCTTTAAATGCTTTGTCTGTGTGCCTATGTAGGCTCTATTTGAGAGACAATTTAGAAAGTCAATCACATTTTATACTCTTTTGTTAAAGTGGCGCTAAAAGTAAGTACTTAATGGAGACAAAGGTAAGCATTTATGAAAGTTTCGACGCCCTCAACCGAAACCGTGCAGGTAGTTATGAAGCAATTTGGGTTCAGGATAAATTTAGAGAACATATTGGTCAAGGCGCGGCGAAGATTGACATCTAGAATGGAACAATATGGCCTCCAAGCAAATTATAGCTCAAATTTATCTATGAAATCTACACTGTGTATGCTCACTATGCTGGAAACCCTTTGCCAACCCTATCTAGCTAGATATGATCCCTCTGCTCTAACCGCATTTGCCAAAAGTTTTGTAGCGCTCCTATCCGAAACTTTCATAAGGCTGGTAAGAGTAAGGCAGTAACCCAGAACCTATATTATTATCAATTGCAAAACACTTGTCTCAAATTAGTTTAAGATTTATAATCATCAAAAACCTTCATTGGTAGACATAAAGTTGATTTATTGATGCATACAGTCAGTAGGAAGTTTAAGATACTTCATTGTTAGTCATGAATTGATCAAAGTAATAAATATGGAACCTCTTCGCATCTAAGTGAAGCCACAAATTATTTATACTTATTTCCTTGTGTTTCCCACTTTCCCTATATAAAGTTTTTATGCAGTTAAACATGTTTTATGTTGTTATTATGCTGTCATAAAAAAATGCTGCCATAAAAACAGTTGTGTATTTGTACAGAAATGGAACTCCAAGACAACCTCTATTAGTACCCCTTGCTAGAGCACGCCTATTGTTTAATCTAACCCGGGTTCCACCAGCTTCTCTTGAGGGTCTTGAAGGTTATTCACATTGCTGGATTATTTATGTGTTTCATCAAAATACAGATCTAGAGAAGTTATGGAAGAACCCTTCACGCTCGAAGTTCAAGGCAAAGGTCAATTATTTGATTTTCAGATTTATTAATTTCTCCAGCACTGAGTCACTGATGACTGACAAGTGTAGATTTTATTAAATAAAATAAGGTAAGAGTGCCAAGGTTGAAAGGTGGGAGGATGGGAGTCTTTGCAACCAGATCTCCACATCGTCCATGCCCCATTGGGCTAACAGTTGCAAAGGTACAATCGATTGAATTGAATGCTTTATTTTAAACATGCATTTTACGTGCTTAAACATCCATTGGGCTTGGATGTTGTGTTGTAAATGTTCTCTCGTTTTTTCTGTCCAATATATTCACTGGTCAAGATGTGGCTCTTTGTTTTTTAGTTATTAATTAATTATAATTGTCAAATTCAGCTCTTAGGTTTTAAAACAACTCTCTTTAGATTGATATTTTTATCTTTTTAAACAAAATTAAATGTTTTTGAAGAATTAATGGGAAAAGGTCAAATAAGTCCTCTTGCAAAATCATCACTTACAGCTAAAAAATCAATCAAGTCAACTGACCTGGCAGTAAACGTATCTGTGTGATAATTGTTTTAGTAGGGCCTTATTCGACCCTTTCCCAAATATATTTTGTAAACCGATTTGAATCAAGTGTTGTTATTGTGTGTTCCTTATACTTTGGGACAGTGAGAGTCGTTTTTAATGTTAAATATCAGCAATGTATATTAATCAATTATAGTGTACATTGTTGAAGGAAGTGCTTATATGTAAAATGCATTCATTAGATTGTTAATACTCCCTCCGTCCCAAAATGATGGTCTTGTTTCCCTTTTTGGTAAAGAACTAAAAGTGGATTACCATTTATACCCCCCCTTTTTAATGAACAGTAAAAGTAAAAGGATGAACAGTACAATAAAGTAAGGTTCTTTAGTCTTTCTACCACACTTTCTTAATCTTTGTGCCCAAAAGAAACTAGACCATCAAATTGGGACACAGGGAGTATAGCAAACCTTGGAGTATGGAGTCATTTTTTCACTGTATAACCCCTGACATATTAATGTGAAAATGGCCTCAAATAGAGGCCAAATGATCCCAAAATTCCAAATTAGGACCATAATGTCTATATTCCCAAAATAGGAGTCAATTATACTGTCTTTTCCTATTCTATCCCTACTATAAGTCCTTAACCTAAAAAGAAAATCACTTTTTTATTTATAGTAAAAACATAAAATATTTTAACTTATAATATCACCATAAAAAAAAACTAGAAATAAACAATAAAAAAGTTAAATAAAAATTAAAACATTAAAAACACTAAAATAAAAGGTTAGATATACAAAAATAAATAAATAAATAAATAAATAAAGTACATACAAAATATAAAAACATATGCAGAGCTCTCCTGCCATCTCTGCCACCTCCCAGCACCGCCACTTCCGATAGAGGAAAAATTCCATCTTGTATAACAAATGCCACTTTTTATCTAAAAATGTGATAAAAATGGCATTAATTACTCTGAAAATGCCAAAACTTGCTCTGAAATTGCCATCAAGATGGCATTTTAATGCAAGTTACCATTTTTCCTAGAGTTAATTATCCTAGGTATGACTAAAACTCAATGAGTTTCCCAAACTATGATCAAACTAGTTTTTTGCTCAAAATAATATTATAATTCTTTATATTTAATTAAAATTCGTAATTAATAATTAATGATTAATTTTTATGGACAAATATACCCTTTTGCTTATACCTATAAAACCCTAACCTCCTACCCATTTTCTACAACCCTAGCTACAACCTCCCAACACCCCACCCTCGTCCAGCCGCCCCACCATCCAGCCGCCGCCGCACGTCATCCAGCCGCCGCCGCACGCCATCCAGCCGCCGCCGAAAAAAGGGTGTTGAAGGGAAGCCGTGTTTTAACAAACTTGTGTGCGGTGAAGCTTCTGTTTTGATGCATATCTGAACGAAGAAGGTAAACAAGCCGGCAGATCTGATGCTCGAAACCAACGCAATTCAAACAGATCTGCCAATGGATGAGTCCAGTAAAGGGAAGCCGTGTTTTTCCTCATAATGCTCTTATTCCAAGTCGTCGAGATTCGATTAGCGTTTCATGTGCGCTAAACTGTTGCGACAGACGCCGAGGAAGAGATTAAGGTCGGGTTCAGTGCTGGTGGACGCTGGTCAGATATTTTGGCAAGCCAGTTGGAGCAGGAACTCGATAAAAACCTCGGTGTGAGAACTTTGTGAAATTATGAAATTGCCTTATCGTTTTGTTTTGTTACATGCCGTCCACATATGCATTATTAGTATATTGAATTTAGTATTTTGCCCATTAAATATGGGCATTGAACACACCATCATTGTACATTTCAATAAATGCTGATTATGGACAATGAATATGTATGGTAATAGACATATTGTACATGGCAGTGAATGAATGCATTAACAAATTTTGTTGTGCATTGATTATGACCGGTATTGCAGTAACACAAAGCAGTGATATCATCATGAAATTTAATAAACTTAATTAAACGTAAAATAATAAAATTATTAAATCTAAAAAATAAAAAATAAAAACAAAAATAAGTTCTTCAAATGAATGAGAAGAGAATTAATTTTGACGGAAGTGCAGTGATTATTATCGGATGTGCAGTAAAAACATGCATTAATTTTGTGCAGTGATGACAATATAAAGTGCAGTAATTTTAATTGGACGAAATTAGTGCAAAATGCACATATTTTAAATAAGGGTATTTTTGTCATTCAACATTTAAATATAAACGTATTTTCTATTTTTTTTTTTTGGATTTTTGGTCATACAAAGGTATAAAAACTAGTTAGGTCATAGATTGAGAAACTCATTGAGTTTTAGTCATATCCCGGTAAATTTCCCTTTTTCCTAGTGGTAAGAGCTGGTGGTGTTGGAAAGTGGTTGATGCGGTGGAAGGGGCCTGCATTTTATTTTATTTTACTTCCATTTCTTATTTTATTTTTTATTTTTTTCATACTTTTATTTTTCTCTTTTTATTTATATTTATTTTATTTTTATTTTTATTTTTTTTCTTTTTATCACTAATAAAATATTTAATTATGTTTTTGTTTTTATTATTAATTGAAATATGATTTACTTATTAAAATAGGGAAAGAGTAGGATAGGAAGAAGAGTTAGGGAGTGTTTACGTTTGCTTCCGCTTTTTAAAAGTGATTTATTTAAGAGATTATTGAAAAAATGATTTATAGTAAAAGTGGGTAGTGTTTGTAAATAGAAGTGATTTTAATTAAAAGGTAAAAGTTGGAGTGTTTGGTAAAAAAAAGTGATTTTTAGTGGAGTATTTTGTGAAAGTACAAAATTGCCCCTCAAGTAAATTAAATATTACTCCATCCTGAATGCCCAACATTCTATTGCTCAAGCTATTTTCTGGCACCTTCCCAACAGACCGGGGGAAGCTCTTTCTGACTTCTCAATACATGATATTCTCAAACCTTCTAATTCTCAACCTACAATACTCCTACCTTTCTGCCTTCTAATTGTGGAGCTCTCCGTTTACAGCTAGAAGTTTTTTCAGTTACTGCTTGACCACCACCGTTTAGAGCTCTCCGTCTAGCTCTCTTCTAACCCTCTTAATTTAATTTAGAAAATACTTCTAGCTCTCTTCAATTTGAAATCAAATTGTGGAGCTCTCCGTCAAATCTGTGTACTGCTTGGCCACCGGTGGCGACACCGCACGAGACTTGCGACACATTCGTCTTCATCACCGGCGGAACAGAGCGGTGGCAGAACATAGCGGTGGCAGAACAGAGCAGCGGCGGAACAACTAGGCCACTGGTGATCCTAGATTCTATTGATGATTGATGAAAGTGGAATGGTGGTTTTTTTTTATGCTGGAAGCCGGTTCTGGTAGGCAGGATGTGAGGACGAAGGGTAGCTTTGGGGATAATCTGGGGATAATCGAATTTGTTCAGGAATTGAACTGCCCTTAGAGTTAGGCTTATTTACCAAAAAGCCTAGAAGCAGATAAAAGCAACCCCAACCTAGTTTCCAACTAAGTAGAATTTTTCATTTGCAAACACTACTTTTGGATTTTTGAAAGCCAAAAGTCAAAAAGTGCTTAAATTAAGCAATGGCAAGCACTGCTTTACTCCTATTTAGGGAATCTAATATTTATGGTCCTATTCTTGCAATTAAGCTTTATTTAATCCTATTTAGGGAATTACCCCCATATTAATTAGTCTCGCCATATTTCGCTTGCTGATTTCTACTTTTTTGGGCATGAATGGTCCAGTAGTGTATCCAAAATAAATTGCTACTTGTGTGCAGTCTAGATCCGAATGTGTTAGTGCATGCACTGATGCACACATAGCAGACTGCCTAGGTGTAAGACTCTACTGTGAACTCTTAGAAAAAAAAAAAAACTCTTTTTTTTTAAACAATAAAAAAAGAAACCTCTTTTTTACTGATCCCCCCCCCCCCCCTTTTACTGTGAACTCTTAGGGTATGGTTGGGAGTTTGGGGGAGAGGGGAGGGAAAGATTTTTAAGGTTAGCCATAAGAGGGGAAGGAGATGTGGAGTGAAAGAATCCTCCATTTTTGTTTGGGAGTAATAAATTTTGAAAGAAAGGGATTATGAAAAATTATAATTAAAATCGTTTAAGATATATGGAATTCAAATAGTTGAACTTTTATTCATTTTAAATTAAGCTAAAATTATCATTTATTTTGTTATTCATCAAAAACCTCCAAATTGGGGTAACCTAAAAATTGTGCATTTAGAGGGTTTTGGAGGATTACAAAAGCCCTCCAAAACCATCCCCTCCATTTTTTTAAACTCCCAATCATGAAAAGGAGGGTTATAAACCCTCATCAACCATTCCCTCCCCTCCAAAACCTAACTCCCAAACACACTCTTAATGGTTTTCAACCAGAATTTTTAATTATGTCTCTTGGCCACCAGAACACCCCAACGCATAGCCATGGCAAATTTTTCTTTTTATATGAAAACTAATCCTATGAATTGTTTAACTTATGATGCTTTAATATACTTGTATAATGGGGTAGGTGAAAATTATTACCTCCACAAAAAGTTTTTTAAACCATGGTACAACTGCAATAAGACATTAATCCTACTTATATTGAAAAAAATTATGTCACTTTAGCTAAATTTGTGATGCATAACATGAATGTGACTCTGTATTATTTTTAGTAATATTTAATCTAGTGTTATTAATGAAAAATTATATATTTAAGAGCTCCACTAGAAGTTCCATTAGACTAAAAACCAAAAGAATGTGATAAAATTTAATAGAAAAGGAAGTAATGAATAAGAGTCTGGTTATCTATAATAATATAGTTAGGGACAAGCAAAGCGGTTTATGGTCTTGAATGCTATTGTGAAGCTATTTCATGAGATGAGCTACTTTTCATGTTTTACAGGTGGAGTCAGTGTGTGGGGGTGCTGTTATTCTTTCTGGGATCGACCTGGTTGATGGCACTGTAAGCATTCTTTTGCCTCTTTGTTGTAGCCATACTGGCATCTCTATTTCCTATCAGTTAATGCTATATATATCTATCTATGCATGGTGATTCACTCTGTTTTCCTGGTCTCTATGCCCAGCCTGTTCTCGATGTCAAGCCCTATCTTCCATACTGTGACAGCATTGTTGGGGCTACATTGCCTGATTGGGTAAAGGTATTACATACTACCTCTGCATTCAAATGGATGTTCCTCTAGGGGTTGTTTTTAGAGAAAATTCCCTTAACAGGACCAAGATATTGAAATAGTGCATAAGTAGGAGTTCCATGTTTTGTAGGAATAGAAGTGTAATGACTTGACAAAAGTACCCATAATGAAGTTCTAGATGTAATTATAATTAAGAAAATAATAGATGAACAAGTTGAGCTTTACCCGTATGTCCACACATTTAACGCATATCTTATACCCTCAAACGATTTTTTCTAGTATGTCCACACATCGTATCTCAGTCACACTCATCTTTTGAATGTGACATTGTGTCACCGCCCGACACTCTATGCCATACGGACATTCAATAATGCAGGTCTATCACTATTTGATAAAACGTACCCTTCAATCTGGTCGGCACATCTCGATCACATAAAAACCACAACACACCTCTTCCATTTCATCTTCTCTATTCTAATTGTATGAGATACTTCTCCATCTAGTTCATAGGAGGTTGTCGGTTAAAAATGATGAGAAAAACCCTAAGAAACAGATGAAAGTGTGATCAGGTACAGGGTAACGAGATAGTTAATGGCATTACCCACGCCGTCACATGCTAAACAGGCAAGGAAAACAGGATGCGGATAGCAGTGTAGATAACGGCATTACCTATGTCATCACCCATTCGGGAACAAAACCATGCACGCTGTAATGTCAAATGTGGCAGTATTTACGTCAATACAGCATCAATGTTTTTGTGCAGAAGTCAAGTAACGGCTACAAGCCCATTCAACCATGGAATGGCTTTTGCAAGCCATTACTTTGCTAGTTCCGGTGCTTAGGTCTGTCATTTTTGCTCCAACTGGATTCTATATGGTGTTCAGGTCTTCGGGAAGCCTAAACTGAATATAATCCATTTCTTGCCCCTGAATGCTTGCAATATTGGTCTTCTCTTCTTTTGGGATCATGAAAGCTTATTAGCTCAAAAGATTTACAATGATTGATCCAATTAAGAAAATAATAGATGAACAAGAACAACAATGAGGGACAAATAAGTTTCAAAACACACTGATCAAAGTGACATGATGAACACCTATCCACAAGCTTTTATCAAATTGACTCTACAAGCTAAATGTCTGGAATGAGAAATATTACAACTGTACACAACTCTTAGGCTCACCTTACAACTCTTATAGGAATGAACACTAAGTTCTCTTCTTTTCGTTGGTCTAATTTTATATAACACTTGTTGAAATCTTTGGACAGGGGGATGAGCTGTTGGCTGTATCTTCCATTAGCTTTTCGGAGGACTTCTCTAGTAGCCTGAGTGCTTGTTGGCCAATAATGGTAATTGTCTTTGTTATTGAATATGCACTCTTTTTTTTCTTATGTTTTTTATCCTTTTATTCTTTTATTGTGTGTGTGTGTGTATTCATTTATCCTTTTTATCTCATCATTTTTATGTATATCTTATTTCTATTTTATCTTATCTTTTTCAGTTATCTTTTTATCATACCTTATCTTTTTATCTTTCTTTTCCATTAGTACATGAAAAGTTAGCTTGGATGTTGTTGTCTTTGTTATTGAATCTAAATCGTCATGTACTAACGTTTATTCCTATAAGTTTACATCTTTATGAGTGGGGTCTTTCTTCTCAAGTTACTGCTTGATTAACTGCTGTCTTTCCCAATTTAAAGATGTCACTTCCTTGGTTCTTCCGATAAAGTTCAATTTCTAAATGCATTGTTCCATTTAGGGTCCGTTTGGTGCCTCTATTTTTGGCTTATTAGCTTTATAAGTTATTTCTTTTACCAAACACTAAACTTTTGATTTCGTGTTCAAGAATATATGATATTCAAAATAAGTAAGACTGGGTTACTTTTCTGGTCGATTTGATTGGTTTTGCTGAAGAACACTATTTTAGTTTGTTCCATATATATTTTCTTTATTGAATGTGACTCTCCAGCTTGTGTTCGCTAACAGAAATGATCTGTCATCCAAAGCTAACTTCACTTCTTTCCTAATCAGATTCTAGGATCTTAGGATGTCCCATCCTACTTTCTATCATAGCAGTTAAAGTAAATTTTGATTTTTTTCATTATTGAGCAGATCCAACAAGTTTAGCCATTTCAGCTAGAATTTCAGCAATTTTAGTAATTTCAGCCGACTCATCCAATTTTAGTAAATTCAACCGATTCAACCAATTTTAGTATTACGAAACGGACTCTTTGTGAGAATATTTTTTTATTTTTTTAAATGTAATCAATAATGTGTTTGGCATCTTAGATCCAAATGAGGCCTGTCTTGGCTTTGAACCATAGAAGCATTACAGTGTTTTCAACTTCTCATGCTTAATGGGATGAAATTCCAAATTTTATTCTGAAGACAAGCTTGTGGAAATAATACTGTGGATGTGTGAGGAGTGCGAAGTTTAAATAAGTTGGAAGGGCTTGATTATCTGCAGCACAATGGGATATATCCAGTATCAAGCAAGTGATATTGAGGGAACTGGAAATTAGAGGGCAATTTGTAATTTTGTATTAGATTATGTGCAGCAGGTGATATTGGTGCGCCTTATTTAGTTATTAAGGAAATGATATTTTCTTCTTAACCTTTCAATTTTACAAAGTGGTCTTTCTGATTGAACTATCCATAAGAACTCCATTTGCACTCTATGACTGTAAAGCTGCTCTATAAGCAACCTGAATTAGTAATACGTTGTTCTATAAGCATCACTCTCTGCTGTTAAACTTTAGTGTTTTATTGTTCTATTCGCTGGTTTCTCTCTCATCATTCTTTGTAGGTCAATAAGCAACCTGAATCACTTATACATTAAGCAGTCCATGGGACTGACACGACATACTTTAGACTGGTCATCAAAGCATCACTTTTATTCTTTGTTTGTTTCTCACCTATCATCAAATTTTTTCTACAAAATGACAGCTTCTTTTGTGTTTCCAGGAAAAGAAGTCACTTTATAGTTCAAGTCATGAATTCCAATGCTTGATAAGACAAGTGCTTTCATGGGATATACGCTCGGTCTCTCAAAGAATCCGACCTCATATTTCTGCAGTGAGGCCCGACAATGGCATTGGGGATGAGCACAATCAGGATCTGGAGAACTCCGCTGATCTAACAATGTCAGAAGAAAAGAATGAAGATGTGAACAGTACTAGTAGTGATAGTATGTATCACCTTATTTTGGAGGGCTTGGACATTTCATACAGAATTGACTGCAGTGGCAATGTTCTTGTTGAGAAAGTAAACCTCTCCCCTTGCTCTAAATCTGGTAATGCAGTTGCTAAAGTTTTGTAATCAGAAATTACTTGGGGTCTAACGCAGCTGCAATACCAGGGTTGAAATAGTAATTTCTCTCCAATTTTTCGCAATGACGACTAACAACTTTCATACAAGCTAATGTTGATTTATCCCTGCCTTGCATGTTGCCGCTTCAATTAATTCTTCATCTGTAATGAACTAAATATTAGAAAATAAGTTCAAGTAATGTCATCTTTAGATGATACTAATTTTTATAATGAAAGCGGTTTTTTAAAGACGATACATAACTTAGAAAATAAGTATGCAGTTAGGAAGTGATTTCTAATTTTTATAATGAAAGCGGTTTTTTAAAGACGATACATAAATTAGAAATCACTTTAATGTATAACAAAAATGAAAGCGGTCAACTTCCTAACTGCAAATCCGGTTTTTTATCTCATCAAAAACCTGATACCAAATCATTCATTAACTTTGTAATAAAGAGTGGAGCTGGGTGTACACAAAAGTTGTACACTTGTATGTCCCTGCAGTCAAGTTGTCTGTCGACAAACAAGTTGTCTGTCGACAGACAACTTGTTTGTCGACAGACGTACCAAAAAGTGATAATTGGTACGTCTTATTTGATGTCAATCTACAGTTAGATCTTAACATAATGTTCCTCTTTTATTCTACAAAGGTTTAAATACATTTTTAATCTCTGTAAATATAGTACTCCGTATATTTTAGGGAAAACTGTCAATTTGGTCATCGTACTATCATGAAAAAGTCAATTAGGTTCTTGTACTTAAAAAAAAGCAATCAAATCCCTGAAATTTGTAAAAACGTTCAATTGAGTCCATTTGCGGGTTACTTGTCATGTCAGCATGTCACCCGCTGACGTAGTACACATGTGGCGGTCCACGTGTGCACCATGTCACCAACAAATGACTGATTGGACTCCCACATGGGTGCCATGTCAGCAAAGTCACTGTTGATCGGGCTGTCGCATGTGTGCCACATCAGCGGGTGACTTGCTGACGTGGTAAGTAACCTGGAAATGGACTTGATTGAACATTTTTACAAAGTTTGGGGATTTGATTGATATTTTTTAAATTACGAGGATATAATTGACTTTTTTCATGAAAGTGGGGACTAATTTTCCCTATATTTTTATGCTACATTCTTGCAGTTTTTTTTTTCATCCCTAAAATTTATTTTGGATTTCTGCTATAATTATATTCAACTCTTTGGATGGCTAGTGAATGGTACACTCGTCTTATATAAAGTCATTTTACATATAGATCTTAACATAACATTTCTCGTTTATTTTAAAAATACATATCATTAATGTAATATGTATTTTGAAGCTCAAGGCCTTTTTACAAATCTTTTTTTGTTGTTGAGGGTAACCTTTTTATAACACTTAGTTATGAGATATAATCATGTTAGTGTATTTTGTACGCAGTATAACAAATTAGTATAAAATGTGTACTCTGAAGTATTACCAAACGACTATTTCAAAATGAGTATTCTCTATTACTAAAATAGACATGGTGCATAGAAATGTGATCTCTTATACGAAATCACTATATTAATAAGTTTCTTATATATTAGTTTAAATGATTGAGCAAAGTTTACTATCATTGAAAGTCAAAGATGAATAACTCAAAAGGAACAAATGTAGTATTTATTTTGAGAGAATTCAAAAAGAAAAACAAGATACATGACTCGGGACAGAGGGGGACTCTCCTTCTAGGCTTGGGATTTTGGCCCTCAGCTCTTCCGTCCCCGACCTCGCAGCCCGCTCCCTTTATGCTTCGTCAGTGTTGCAGTTCATCAATTCGCCTAATCTTGTCGGAGATCTTTAGGTTGGCTTCTTCAGATTCTTGGTATGAATATGATCCAATTATATTGTGGTTCTTTCCCGAGCATGGTTGCTCTGATGTGTTTTGTCTCCCTCAATGTGGGGAGAAACTTTATGGTCCCTTCTAGCTTCGCTTGGTCGGGGGTTATGTCTGTCTTCATATTAGTTGCGTAGAATATGGCAAAGGCATAATAGTGTTTTTCACTCAACATACTCCTATGAGGCTATGACTACCGGGAACATAGCAAAATTAGAGATTTATATTTTACCATTACTATAGCACCTTGCCCTCCTCTGTAACCACCTCTTTTCCCGGAAGAGATTTGTGGAAAAGCGTTACTTGGTACTACGAACTTGAAGATTTTGAAGACTCGGATTTTATTTCAGCATTATATATTCTTTAGTAGTATTCTTTTTTATTTTAGTTCAAGTAGTTATGTTTGCTTTGCTGTTGGAATATTTGGTTGGGATGCCTGTCCCTATATTTTTCTTTGTGGTAGCTAGGGGGAGACTTGTGAATGGTGAATTGATTGGCATTGACACTAATTTGATCGCCATTGGCTTGTGTCTGTTCGCTTATTGGTTAGCGCGTCAATATGTTTTTTATGAATGAGAGTATTTATACCTTACGTTTAATTCTTTTTTGAAAATAACTTGTTATACCAGGTTGTGGTCACTAATAGATTATTTTTGAAAAAATGTTCTATAATGAGAACCATCCAACAATAATCTATAGTTGGGAGTTGGGACCAACAACAATTGAGTTTATAATCCACGATCGATCCTAGGGATTGAGCTTTCTCTTCTTCAATCAGCAAGAGTTTTGAAAAAAATGATGATGTCTCTAGGTAGTGAAGTATCGAATTAAAGATTTTTCTATTCTTCCGCTCTTTTTTAATTTTTACTTTTGGGGGTTTTGGTCCGACATCTTCTTTGACCTAGAAATTTATCTGCTTCATGTGAGCATGTTGTATGTTTTTCTCCTACCAATGTCTAGAGACTATTAGTTTTCCATCGGTGTAATTGATTTGGTGAGTTTTCGTTGTTCATGGTTGACACAACTTTTTCAAGCTTGTTGTTCTGAGGCTTCAATTTCAGCTCGGTAGGATTTCCTTTGTTGGTTGCTCGTCAAATCAATTATCCCTTTTCGGTGGTTGGTGAAGCCGAATATTTTATTAGTAATTTTTTATTTTTTTTGGAGTAGCTAGTTCAAAAAGACTGTTAGACTATGTTACATTATTACGGGATTAGCGATTTGGAAGGACTCGTGAGATTTTTTCTGTTCAAAGTCATGTCCCATTGTAGCCTTAGGGTTGGTTTGCAACCACTTTAAAAAAAGCACTTCTCAGCTTTTGGCTTTAAAAAAGCACTTCTTTGATCAAACACTACATTTTTTATTTTTCTCAGCTTTCCTGTCAAAAGTGCTTTTACTTTTTCTATTACACAAAAAGCACTTATTTTACCAAACACTATCAACTTTTAATTTTCAAAATCACTTTTTTCTCAAACACTATCAGCTTTTATTTAATCATTTCTCCTCATTTCATTAAAAAAAACACTTTTTTTAAAGTAGAAACTGTTGCAAACAGACCCTTAGACTATTCATTTACTTGTTTCTTTGCTATTATTTGACATGAATAAATTAGTTATTTTATTCAAAAAAAAAAAGAATTGAGTTTATTATTATTTTCATTTTTTTATAAATAAAATTGGTGAGCATTTTTAATGGGTAGAATTGTAGAAATGGATGTGGGGAAACCGGTAGACTGTGTCATCTTGTGAGTTGAATTTACAATCCAGCGCCATTATCCTTGGCCAAGCACATAGTTGCAGACCTTATCTGCTCGCATACTGTACATGAAACTTAATTTGATTTTCCCGTTGCATCTTAACAATGGAGGGTACCCTTTTTCCCAAGAAGCCGATGTTGCCAGTTCAACAAACAAAGCCTACAGCTCCTCAGCCACCCAACCCGGGCTTCACGTTCACTCCGACAACTCTTCATCTCCCTCCTCTCCAGCACCAGAATTCAACCTCTCCATCTTTCCCACTCGACTCTCTTCTCCAGCACCTTCAAGACACCTCTCCGCGAAACCTGGAAACACAAGATGCTCGAGCGCAGAAGCGGGGTCTCGACTGCAATGCAGTTCCTAGAATCGGAGGTAACTGTTCCGAAGGTGCTCTTCCCGGAATTCCGGATGATCTGTCGCTGGATTTTCTCTCGGAAAACTGTAAGTCCATTCTCAATTCACTCATTCAACAGCCCATATCCGGTTTGCGCGCGTTTTTTGATTCCATGATGTCCCAGTTGGTTCAAATTGATTTGATGAGTCTAGTGAAAGGTTTGGACATTTTGGGACACTGGGATAGAGCCGTCTTGTTGTTTGAATGGGCTGTTTTGAATTCGAAGGCTGATAGTGAAATGCTTGATGGTCAGGTTATAGAATATATGGTCAGGGTTTTAGGAAGACAATCGCAGCACTTGTTAGCATCGAATCTGTTGGATGTAATTCCATTCAAGGACTACTCACTCGATGCTCGAGCATGGACAACTGTTCTTCATGCCTATTCTCGTAGTGCAAAGTATGATAAGGCAATAGCATTGTTGGAATATATCAAGGAAAGGGGTTTGCCACCTAATTTAGTCATGTACAATGTCATTCTTGACATTTATGGCAGGAAGGGTGGATCCTGGAATAAGATTATAAGCATCCTAGATGATATGAGGAGAGAAGGACTTGAATTTGATGAGTTCACTTGCAGCACTGTCATATCTGCATGTGCTAGGGAAGGATTGATTGAAGAAGCAAAGAATTTCTTCAATGGATTGAAGTCACAGGGCTATGTTCCAGGAACAGTTACGTATAATTCTTTACTTCATGTTTATGCAAAGGCTGGAAATTACACTGATGCTCTTGCTGTGCTTGATGAAATGGAGGGAAACAACTGCCCACCCGATTCAGTGACATATAATGAGCTTGTCGCAGCTTATGTGAGGGCAGGTTTCTTCGAAGAAGGCGCTGCACTTATAAACACTATGTCGCAGAAGGGTATAATGCCTAATTCTATTTCTTATACCACAGTCCTTGATGCTTATGGTAAAGCTGGGGAAGAAGAAAAGGCTTTTGACTTGCTAAAAAAGATGAAACGGTCTGGCTGTGTCCCTAATGTCTGGACATATAATTCAATCATTGCAACTCTGGGGAAGAAATCCCGAATTGAAAAGGCAATGGAAGTGATATCTGATATGAAGCTTAATGGTTGTTCGCCTGATCGTATTACTTGGAACACAGTGCTTGCAATGTGTGGGAATAATGGAATGCAAAACTATGTAAATCGTGT